CAGGAGGAGATAGATGTTCCCTCAGCAAAAGGAGATGTATGTTTGCTTGCATGTATTATACACAAAACAGCAGGAAGCAAGAATTTGAATTAACAGAGAAGGAAGGTCCAGGGAAGTAACTGACCAATACATACTGGGCCATTATACATTTTTTAACTAAATCATATTTACATAGACTCAGTGAAAACTCTGCAATGTTCTATACTGCCTCAATGGTAGCTAAGTGGGAAAAGGAAGGTAGGTCCTGGTGGTTCCAAAGAAAAGACATATCACCCACTCAACCAAGGGGAGAAATATCAGGCTTCATGGCAAAAGAAAAAAAAAAGGTTTTCTTTTTAAAAGTGGCATTAATGTTTAAAAACAAAGTATCCTAGGCTTAAGTGAAGGTTAATTATATGGCATCTTTTCAGAACATAAAGCCCTGTCTATGTCAGCACTGGGAGGACATCGGTGTCCTGGGAACCAAGGTGTGAGGGGAGGGGCGCTGTGCTGGTCTGGCACAGATGTAATCTATTCACATTATTTCCTTCCAGTTGGATATTAGCATTTAAGTTTGTAACAGCTGCACATGTTAAAAATGATCATTTGAATCCAAGAGTAAAAGAAGGAAAACAGGAAACTCTAAATGATCTCTTGAGTTAGGTCATCTAAAAATAACTAGAAGCAGCCTTTTAGAATCGAATTGCTTTCCTAATAGTGATTCATAAATGGTGGATATGCTACCATATTAATTGATTTCATCAGAATGAATCATGTCCTGTATGTTATTTAATTGCCTTGTTATATAGCGTATCATGTGACATTCCTGTGTTCCTCATGCCACTTACACGGTGCCCATGTGACTTTTGATTTACATATGGAAATTAATTCAAGATTGACACTGGTTCAGAAATGTATTCTCATGCAGAATAATTCCAAGTCCTTAATTTCTCTTAGTTATATTTCTTGGTAACCAAAAGGGTTTTTAAGACTTTCAGAACTTCAGGAAATTTCTTTCTTGTGTCAAAAGGAAATCAGTGTTTTGGGGTAGAGGGGTAAGTAATTTTAAATATAGCTACTTTGTTTTATTAATATGCTTCCTAAACTGATCACATGGTGAATAGGTTTTAGTATGATGTAACTCTGGGAGATTGTACTCCCCAACCCCTTCCAGGACATTTTCAGATTATGCCATATATTTATCAACATACAATCTGGAAAGAGTTCAATTCTGGCCCTGTTCTTTATGGTGAAATCATATTGTATTATGTTTTATTTTCCTCACTGTCTAGGTATGTTACTGTATGTGAGCTGTGAAATAACACTATATACAAATAGTTCATACAACTCTTAATTTTGCTCCATATTAAATAGCATATCAAGCATCAATTCTCACTATGTAGAAATTTCAAAGAACATGTATTGAATATTGTCATTGAGTGCTAGTACTTCTAGGATAAGAAGAGAAGAAAGAACCAGGGAGTGTGTAGTTTCTGAGGTTAGGAAGGGGCCAGCTCACACAGTTCTGGGTCACAGCACAACTTTTGATTTGGAAGTTCAGGAGAAAGATAATGGTACCTTGGACTGGGGTGAGAGTGATGGTGGATGTGGAGAGAAGTGGATGGAAGAGAGAGATAATGTGAAAGTGATATGATAAAGATTTGATTATGGAGTGAAAATGGGATATAAGGTGTGGAGTATCAAGGTTGACTCTCAGATTTCTGGTTCTTCCACATGAAGAACAGGCAAACTTTTGGAAATCTGAGTAAGACATGATAAGAGAAGATAAAGAATAAGAAATCCCTTTGGGGCATCCAGATATGAAGGTGGAAGAAGTGGTTGGTGCTCAAAGAAGGGGTCTGAGCTAGAGGTAGCAGTGAGGTGTGAAATTTCTACGGATGAAAGTTTAAGTTATGGGCATCGTGCTATTACTTACAGAGAGAGACCAGAGTGATGAGGAAGGTTAAGAGTGAGCTCTGAGGACCTTCCACATTGAAAACTCAGGTAGAAGATGATAAACCAGAAAAATGGTCAAGAATGTAGCCATAGAGGTAGAGGAAAACCCAGTTAGTATATCCAACATGCAAAGGACAGGGAGCATTTCAGGGAATGTCAGTCAGGCTTAAAGGCTGCAGAAAGGGCAAATGAAACAGAGCTGTCAAAAAACACTGAATTTAATGACCCTGAAGACAGCAATGACTTGGAGGGAGCTGCTTTAGAATCCAATGGAGGTATCAGCTAGATGGGATGAAATGAGGAAAGAATAGTAGTTGAGAAAGTTATAGGCCAGAAAGTAAAGGAAACACTTCAGAGAATTTTAACTGTTGCAAAAGGAAAGGGGGTAAACTATGGAGAAAAGAGTGGGTCGAGGGTTATTTATTATTTTAAGAAGTAGCTGCTTGAACATAATTAGTATAAAATATCTAGTAGAAAAAAGAGGTTGAAGATACAGGCACAAGAAGATGTAATTTATAGCAGGGGTGGCCCACCAGCTGTCTTTGTAAATAAAGCTTTACTAGAACACAGCCATGCCCATTCATTTACTTACTGTCTGTGGCTGCTTTCCTGCTAGACTGGCAGATTGAGTAGCTGTTACAAAGACTGTGCAACCAGCCAATAGGGTGGAGGCTAGAGTGAGGCAAATTGATCGCCTAGGCCACAAAATAGAAGGAAATGCTCAGTCTGCATGCTGACTCCGCGATTGCCGCATGCTGAATGCAAGCACCTTATCATTTTGCATCCTAGCCCTCCTAAGCCCCAGCCGTGTCAACAAACCCTAAAATATTTACTCTCTGGCCCCTTATAGAAAGCAATTGCTGAACCCTACTTATACTCTAAGAGTATTAGGGTAATTTTTTGAACTCTTGAGTACAGTACAACATTATCCATGGTTTCAAGTTATCAATAGTTGAATGGCAGGTAGGAGAGCTAGGAGAGCATGGGAACCAAGGAGAGGCAGAAAGGCTGGCAGGATGCAGAGTCATACCTCCATATCATGCAAAGGGAGGTGGTAGAAGGCACAGGTACAGCAGGTGTGAAGAGTTGGAGCCTTTGTACCCACTGGTTGCTCTTCTCCTGAAACAGGAGGCAGAATTATTTGCTGGTGGGGAAGATCTGCACCGGAGGTATAAGAAGTCTGTAAATGAGCCTGGTTGGTTTTCCTTATATGGAAAAAATGACTGGGAAAGGGCTCAATAGTCCCCATCTTATAGTAAATCCCTGCCATGCATATGCCTACCTGAGCAGATGTGTCACTTGCTACATTTATCAATGTTCTTTTCACTCTTACTATCCCCCTCTGTTTCTGTTATTTCATGTAGCTGTCAGCCTTACCATCCACATGTTTCTAGACTTTTCCAACCTTTGAAAAGTAATGTTTGATTATTTCTACAGACAAGATATATATATATATATATATATATATATATATATATATATATATCTGCAGGGTGCATAACAGGAGGTCTGGTACTATGCCCTTTGGTTTCTAATTTTGCTAGTAGTAGACACAGCCTATTATCAATAGTGAGAATTATACCTCACTACACTGTCCACATCGATCACTCAAAGAATTAATTTTTATTACCGTATATCACCTAGCTTGTTGCTAAAGAATGGCAACTATCCTCTGAAAATTCCAAAAAGTTTTGTTTTTTACTTCACAATAAATTGCATGTTTTGATAGAACCAGAGGTTCAGGCTTTTCAAGTAGCATTTCTACTTTTAATATAGACTTGGCCTTTTAAAGTTCTTCTACCTGATTTAATGTTAGCCATTTCTTTCAAAGAACAACCAACCTTGGAATTATTTTCCCTTGATCATTCTAGTTTCATCCATAGGGCTTATAAAAACAATGGAGAGGTTAGATTCCAACTTACTGCTGCTAGGAAACCTAATTTGGAGTCTAAAAAGAATAATACATTTGACTATTATTAGTGCCTTTCGGCATGAATCTAAAATATTGCCAATAAAACGCCTGGCCTGAAGGATCCAAGGAACATGTATACAAACAGATTTATGATAGAAACTCAGAAAGGAACTATATGCAGGTCTCCAAAAAAAAAAAAGCCATCAATTTCTGTACTATGCCCCTTTCCCCAAATTGTCCTTACTAGAGGATTTAACAAATTGTTTCCTGGGCCTCCCACCAGATATTTAGTATCCCACTCTGCATGTGGCGAGCAGAGTGGCTTGAGTGTAGATCACGAGAGTTACAGTCCCAACCAGCTGGCTGAAAATACAATGTGGGGATGAGGAACAGAATGAAAACAGAGCGGACATCTTCCCAAGCAGTTCCCAAGCTGCTCTTCTGCCTCTCAGGTTATTATTTCACATGCTGAGTCTTACTAGAAACCTCAAAGTGTGTTCAGTTAACTAAATTTCAGCCTTAGCTTCATGCATCTCTCTATTAAAACACCTGATAGTCACTCTGTTATCATGATTTGCATTTCTGATTCTCTACTCCTTCACCCCAACCCACACTCTGAATGTAGGGGGGAGATCCCATAAGCGCAGAGGCAGGAGCAAAAGGCCTCAGCCTATTTCCATATAAATAATGAAGAAGAAAGTAACTAGAAATATAACTGTAGTAGTTATTAGTTATTCATATGTGATCTTAGTTATTCATAGGTGATCTTAATTCTTTTACTAATGCCTCTCAGGTTTGAAGTGTGAACCTGGGGTGACATTGTGAAATGAATGACACTAAGGCAAGATGCTTTAAGCTCTCTGTCACGCTCCATAAGGGCTGCTGGAGGGCGCCTCAGCTATGCGGCAGCACCAGCGCTGTGAAAGCACCTGCTGCTTAGCCAGCTAGGGAAGGAGATGTCCAAAATGGCCGAGACATCTCCTTCCTGGGGAAGTTTGGAGAAAACTCCGCTTCTCCATGCTCTTGTGGTAAGGCCTGACAGCTGTCAGGTAGGCCCACAGACATCCAGGGCCTTAACTGTCTCTATGTGATGCTGTGCTTCAGTGGTCACGTTCCATGTCTACTGTTATGTTCTGCTTCTGCACCTGGTTCCTTTTTACTTAGAAAAGATATTCAGTAATAGTAATATAAATCTTAATGTTTTAGTTCTTTCTTGATAAGTGTGGAAAAAGTGCTGATGCATTATGCACCTTACCTTACTTCAGGTGCGAAATTCCTGAGCCCCTACCTGAATGACACGTGATGTACTTGACCCTATCACTGCCACGCCCTATCTACCGTGCCCCCAGTCTCCGACCACCAAGACCATGCCCTACCTACCCTGCCCCCAGATTTGCAACTCAATAAAAGTGAGAGAGAGTGTTCAGGCATTTGGTGTTTGGGGCCACTGCTGGTCTCTGCGCTTTGGGTAGCAGTGGACCCCTGGGCCCAAACTCTCTTTTCTCTGTGTCTTATGCCTTTTATTTCTACAATTTCTCGTCTCCACACCAGCCGGGAGGGGCTCACAGAACCCTGTAGGGCTGGACCCTATACTGAACACCTCAGGAGAAAGGACTGTACCTTTTATAAGCTTTGCACCTCCCATTGACTAGCTTGTTGTGGCATGTAGTAGACATTCAATAAATGCCTGTTTGAATGAATAGACAGACTTGAGACATGTGGAGAAAAAGTAGAGACCTAGGTGTCTAAGATGTGTGTTTATAAATACTAGTTTTCTTTATTGAAATGGAAACTTGAGCCATTTTGATAAGCACAAATGTCACCTTCGTATTTTGATTGATGAGTCAATTCTTCAGAAAACGTTTCTTTGAATATGTCTGTCCTTACTTAGCTCTTAAACATAAATGAGAGTGTTTTCAATGGTCCAGTCAGTCTCTGAAAGTGAATGTCTGTTTTTTTGATTCCAGAATTCATCCCACAAGCATTTGGAATGCCCTTATCCCAAGTCATTGCAAATGACAGGGCCTATAAACTCAAGCAGGACTTGCAGAGGGACGAGCAGAAAGATGCATCTGACTTTGTGGCTTCCCTCCTCCCATTTGGAAATAAAAGACAAAACAAAGAACTCTCAAGCAGTAACTCATCTCTCAGCTCAACCTCAGAAACACCAAATGAGTCAACGTCCCCAAACACCCCGGAACCGGCTCCTCGGGCTAGGAGGAGGGTAAGGTGGCCAGTATTTGCTCTGACACCAGTGCTAGGAAAACTGAAGATGTACAGTTATTCTTTGAGTTTTTGTTCATGTGAAAACTGGTTATGTAGTTGGTGTTCAGATATCTGTCAACAACTCCATTAATGAAGAATGTGTACTGGGCATGTGGCACCTGGCATAGCCTCAGACCTTGTCCTGACTCCTCTCGAAGCTATTGGGTATCCCCCTTTGTCACTTCTGTGCTCCATGCTCTCCTAAACATTCAACAATATCACCATTGATTCTGGTCTCTTGTAATCCATCAGTCTTGCTAGACTTGGCTGCTAGACTGGAGGCTCGAGGGCAGGGTCTGGTGTTTTAGCTATTAATACTTTCTTCATCACTGGTCTGAGAACATGCCTGGCCAACTGAATTGGCAGTGCGTCTTCCTAAACAATGAGCTTTTTCCTTATCAATGGAGCATTTCTTTTTCTCAAACAGAACCATAGAATCCTCTATATATCCTCTTTCAAAACAATACTATAACAATGTGATACCAATTGTTGAGTGCTATGTTCTAGGCAGTGTGCTGTTATTTGAATTCTTCAGGCAAACTGGCTGGTGATTGGCTGAGTCAGTTGATAAGCATCTCTAAAGCTTCCAGGTTACTGGGAGATCTTCTTTCCCTTTTTAAAAACAGATCAGCATTTTATTTTTATTTTTTTGATTCAGGGTCTCGCTCTGTTGCCCAGGCTGGAGTGCAGTGGCATGATCACTGCTCACTGCAGCCTCAATCTCCTGGGCTCAAGCAATCCTCCTACCTCAACCTCCACAGTAGCTAGGACTACAGATGCACACCACCATACTAGCTAATCAGATGCACACCATCATGCCTAGCTAATTTTTTTTTTTTAAGTAGAGATGTGGTCTCACTGTGTTGCCCAGACTGGTCTTAAACTTTCTAACTCAAATGCTCCAAAGTGCTGGGATTACAGGCATAAGCCACCACACCCGACCTTCTCTCCCTTTTTTCTCTGTCACTTGGGGATCCTAAACTTTTGCCACCTCCAGCTGTTGAAGACTGCCCTAGTTAAAAACACCAGACACTTCCCACTTAAAACCCACATTTCACAATCAGCCCCTAACCTTCATTGCTGTTCCAAAGTAGAGGGAGACCTGATCCATTGTTTTTGCTGTATTGACCATGTTTAAAAATGAAGAAACTACAAAATTATGGAATGCCTGAATTTGCATGATGGAATTGTTCTTCTGTCATTGTATCTCAGACTGTATTGTCATACAACAATGACACTAAAACTCTAAATTTTAGCTTTCTAGGAATGTAGGGCTCAGGCAATGAGTCTCCCAAATGTCCTCTCCTCTGTCCAGGCCTGGCTAGCCAACTGCTTTCTCAGTGCTTCATCAAGTATGGGTGGCTATGGCAAATGCAATTGGTGCCCTGCTCCCTTTCCCTGACCCTTTACCATTCCTAGCATGCCAGCTCACCTTCCACCTGCCAACACCTTCTTTGCTGAGGGCTTTCTCTGATGCCAGAGTCACCCAGTCCATGCAGATGGAAGGCTGTAAGTACTTAGGAGATATTATTATCTCTTTGCCCCCACCAGAGGCTGCCCTTAAGCAGTGATACCTGAGGCTTTGTGCATAAATACCCCAGCTCTCTCATTTGATAGGGATAGCTCTGAGGTGCATAATACATAGCTGTCTCCTAGAGCTCCCCAGAAAGACTGAGCTCCAGTTGCCCGCAATGGTAATAGGCTTGATAACGTTCCCTTCATCAGCTGCCTTTCCTTCCTTGTCTCCTTTCCCCACTCCCCTACTGGCATTTCCCAGGACACCTCTCTAGTAAAGTACTTTGTGCTGTTTCTCAGGAAAATTAAGCTAAGGCTATTTAATGGAATTATTCCACTTTAAAAATCCTAGAGCCATAGTTTTTTATTTACAAGACTTCTCTGACTACCTCATTCGTTGAGTATGTAATTTTTTTCTTGTTTCAAGAAATGAAGTGGTTGGGCCAAAATACTTTAATTATATGTTTCCCATTGCTTGTCTTCCAATTGGAAAATTTTGGCTATTGTTGAAATTGTAACTGCCATTACCTTGAGGAAACCTTGTAGAGGTTTTCTAACTTTTTCAAAAGGCATCTTTTTTTCTTTTAATATACAAACAGTACAATTAATGCAATCAAGCAGTATTATTTTAAGTGTGATAGAGTCATGAGCAAAGTATGTATTGGCTATCATCTGGGGGCAGCTGTTTTTCTTGGCTATCTGTATTTTTGTTCATGGCTCTGCATCACTTGCAGGGTGCCATGTCAGTGGATTCTATCACCGATCTTGATGACAATCAGTCTCGACTACTAGAAGCTTTACAACTTTCCTTGCCTGCTGAGGCTCAAAGTAAAAAAGAAAAAGCCAGAGATAAGAAACTCAGTCTGAATCCTATTTACAGACAGGTCCCCAGGCTAGTGGATAGCTGCTGTCAGCATCTAGAAAAACATGGTAAGTAGACTTGTCCATCTAAAATACTAATTCAAATACTTATTCAAGCATCATTCATTGAAGTACCCAATTTCAATTGTGTTCATTTGATCATGTTCTGAGCTGAAATTTCCTGTGTGAAAGTGTACAGATGTGAGTATTTGCTAAGAGATTGTGGGGCTAAACACAATCGGAGGAGGGGGTGAATCAACTTGATGATATTAAGACTGCTTAGTTCTCAGTAGTCCTCAGAAGTGACCTTGGAGGCCAAGCAATTTGGGGAAGGGTCAGGTCTGTTGGACTGGGTTTGTCACCAGGACTTCTTTCAAACAGACCAGAGCCACTTTTATTAATTGTACATAAAAGTAGCCTAGGAGGTTACTCACAAGGATTCCTTTAAAAAGTAAGAGTCCAACCTAAAAAAATTGGGGAATCATTGCTTAAGTGAATAGAAAATACGTCATTTTTGACAACAGGTTTACATATTGCTATTTGCATTTTTGTAGAAGCTATTCACTTAAAATTTCTCCACAGTCACCCTTTGCAAGTCAATTCTAGTTACTAAGTTGACTTAAGAATTATATACAGTTCTTTTAAATTTTTTCTGAAATTTAGACTTCTGGCTTATTAAACTGCCATTTTCATAAACTAAATTTGTTTGCTGTAGTGTTAGCACATGTTTTATGTACATGAGAAAAGTTTACTTTTTTACTATAAAAATAATAGCTCATTGTAATAAAGTAAATGTGAGAGCAAAGAAAATTCTGAAGTTACCATATAGACATAACTACTATTAACATTCTCATCTGTTTGCTTCCTAAGAAAAATTGAACTTCATTTAAAAATTGTTAAGAATATATCTAAATTTCTTAATTCATTATAATGGAAATCACTGGATAACACATGGATAACCTAAAACTAATGTCGTAAAATCTTGTTTATACAAAATTTTAAGTGTAGGTTTTTTTTCCACCTTATCTTTCACATGCCTGTGCATTACCTATGTACATACCTTGAACGTACCTCTCCCTGTATACACACACACACACACAAAGAAACAAAAAAACAAACAAACAAAAAAAAAAAAACAACGAAAAACACAGTCACGTACCACATAATGACATTTCCATCAATAATGGACCAATAGGCAATGGTCATTGCATAAGATTATAATAAATACTGTATTTTTACTGTACCTTTTCTATATTTAGATACACAAATACTTAATATTTTGTTACAGTTGCCTACAGTATTCAACACAGTCACATGCTGTACAGGTTTGTAGTGTAAGAGCACTAGGCTCTACCATATAGCATAGGTATTTAGTAGGCTATACCATCTAGGATTGTGTAAGTACACTCTATGATCTTTGCACAGTAATGAAATTGCCTGATGTATTGCTTCTATCAATTGGGGAACTTAGAAAAAAATCACACTATTTAGAATAAAATACAGAATTGTATTTCTTCATCTGCACAAATGAACATAAGTACCCACCTCAAAAGTTCTGCAATGATTCAATTAATTAACGTGCATACAGTACTTAGAATAGTACTTGGCATATATTATTATATAGAGAGAAATAGACACTGAATGAACTGAATGACTCTTCTATGTATGAAATAGAAAACTTTAATAGTAGGTCTCAGTAATTTTAATTTTGGCTGCATTTACTTTTTTATTTTCACATGGTTTCTGAATAAATTTCTACAGAAGCAAGATATCAC